GTATATATATATATATATATATATATATATATATATAGAACTTTGAATTTTAAAAATCAAAGCTTTCTCTAGAGTTTTTTTTGCGGCCAGAGAAAACTACTGATTTTCAAGACCTGAAGTTTGTTTTGTAAATGCACACCAAAAATATTCAAAAAAAGGCCTTTGGATTTTGTAAACCCAAAATTTTCGGAGTTTTACCTATACAAAAGGGTAGAAAACTTTAGAATCTCAAATTTCCGAAGTTAAAGACATTTTTTGGGGGAAAATAAAAAGTAAAACCCTTGAACAGGGAAGTTGATTAAACTCAAAAGCCACGATTCTTAATTAACCGTACTAATCCCATTGGGGACAGGTGAGAAGAGAGAAGGCATTCAGCATCCAAGACATGACAATAATACCAACAAGGAATTTCAGATCTACAGCCAAACATCATCATTTGCTTTTCCAACCGATTCTATAAGCTGCATGGTATAGCATCAAAGGAGACCCTGAAAAAGTGCAAATTATACATCTTGTATCACTTGATCCATCAAAAAAAAACAGAAAGGAAAAAAAAACCATCTTGCAAAGGACCAAAACTAATTAGAAGTAGCAGCAGGCATGGTGGTAAAATATTAATCAGTAGATGATACAGAGAGAAAGAGGGGGGCTAGGGCTAGGGTTAGGGCCTGGCAGGCTTCTGCAACAAAGCAGTCAAGAAAAGCTCCCCATTCCTGACTCCTGATGCATCAGTCTTATTCGCAGTGATCCACCTCAATTTCTTATACCCCATTTTCCTCATTAAGGGCCCATAAACCTTGTCCAAATCGACCATCTTGCAGAAGAAGTGATCGAACCAAAGCAAACCCCCAGCCCTAAGAACCCTGTCAATGTCATAGAACAAAAACTCCATAGTCACAGTGGGGATCCACCGATTGACCGCCCTCCCACAATGCACGAGATCCATGGTGCTATCGAAGATGGGGAAGCGGTGGTGAAGCGTAATGTGCAGAGGTGGGAGGCCTCGCAAGGCGGCAATCTCACCATGAGGGGCATCCAGATCAAGGGTCGTGGTCAGGATGGTGGCGTTACATCGGCGGCGCATGTGTGCGGCGAAGGCACCAGAACCGCCCCCGATGTCGAGGCCCAGCCGGATCGGAGCAGAAGAGAGATTGAGAACGGAATCAATGGTGAGATCGAGGGGGGAGGTTGATGAGGAGGAGCCCCATTTTAGGGCTTCGGATTTGGGGTCAAAAGTGGTGGGCTGGAACCGGGAGAGGCATTCGAAGCTCTTGCAAGAGAAGGGTGACCAATTGAGGGAGGAATCCGGTAAGGGAGAGGAGGAGGAGTTGGGAAAGAGGGGGCGGGGAAAGGGAAGGAGTTTAGTGGGGGTTTGGGAGAAGCAGCGGCGTAGGGGGAGGGGATCGCATCCCAGCGTGAGAAGCTGTTCGGCCAAGTGGTGGGAATTGGAGGGGCAGAGAGAGAAGGAAGAGGAAGTGTAGTTGTAGCTGGAGAAGGGGTGGAGGAGATGAGGATGGCGAACACAGGCCGAGCCAACCGGGGAGAGGACGGCGGAGCGGAGGAGTTCAGGGGGAGGTTGCGAAGAGGAGGAGGAGGAGCGGAGGTGAGAGAGGTGGGATTCGGTCGCTCGGATGGTGGCGCGGATGGTGGCAAGGTGGCGGAGGAGGTGGTCAGGAATGAGGTTTTGGGTTGGAGGAGGGGGAGGTGGGGTTTGGAGGAGGTGGGTAGAGGAGAGGTGGTAGAGAGAGAGTATGTTGGTGGTAACCATGGCCACTACTAACACCAGGTTCAGCCCCATCCCCATCCTCTCTACAAGCTCTCTCTCTCTCCTCGGTTGTGAGGGGATGGGAGGAGTTTGCAGTAAGTATCAGTTGGATGATACTCGCTGCTTGCTTCCAAGGGGAGAGAGATGTTTTAATATTTATTTTGTCGGATGATATTTTTTCTTCTAACCTTTGTCGTCATTGATCGATTTTTTTTTTTTTTAAATCGGAAAATGTTTAGAAAAAATTATAAAAAAAACCCCCAAAACTATATTTTCTATGCACTTTACCTAATCCAAATTTTTCTTTTGTTTTTTTTTTCGAATATATATTTTTTATGCAAATACCCTTAATAAAAAAATTTTAAAAAATACCTAAACTGTCCTCCCTTACTTTCATCTTGCACATGCCTCTCTCTTCTATCCCATGAAAATAGGGGCTCCAACACTTGTTTAAGTGCGGCTCTTGTGCTCCAATAATGTGGGAAGGACATTTTTGTTTAAAAAAATGAATTTTTTCTTTTGAGGTATTTGCATAAAAAGTTTGTTTTGGGGAAAATAGTGAGAAAAAAAAGTTAGGCTGGAGTAAGTTGTATAGAAAATGTGATCTTGGGTTTTTTTTTAAATTTTTCCAAATGTTTATTCTCATCTCATGAAACCGAAAATGGCCGGATTGGTGTAAGAAAACCTTTTCATACATAATATCCGCCTTGACTGTTATGATTGTATATAAAAAAACATTGAATCCCAAAAAATAATGTATATTGTAACATATTATCTAGTTGGTCTATTTCCTTCTAAAAATAAGTATTTATGGAACCACTAGATCTTTGTATTTTTGTGAGCATTGAAACATCATAGCCAATATTGGGAACTAATTTTAGAGCTATCATAGAGATTTCTGATGCTCAAAGTGTTATACGAGGATTCAGTATGAGGTTTATTTTATTTTTCATAAGGCCTAGCAAACAAAAAAAGAGATTGGATCAAAGCGAACTGGCCCTAACCCATCCCTCATAGCACAAATGGTAGAGCTGGGCGAACCGGCCCCTTACCAACCCTATTGAAAGCCTAAATGGCCTACTCGACAAAAATGGCTCATCTCTCCGTCCATCTGAGCAGTACCTTGCTGCAGTAGACTCATTGCCTTTAAGAATTAAACTAAGGATTGTCGGGCTCTCTCATATTAACACACCAAGAAAATAATTTTAATCAAGAGGCGTTTTTAATTTTACAAGTCGCTTGCTTTTTTTGAATGCAAGTGGTACAATTTATACCCTCAGGGTGAATCTTTTTTACGTCATTTACATCATGTCAAAGAAAAAGTAAATGAATATTACAAAACTCTCTATTTATATGATATCAAAGAAAAAAAAAAAAGAATAGTAACACATTTACTTCAGTTCAAAAAAGCAAATGAATAGTAAAAAGCTAAACACTTGAAAATAAACTATACAAAATAACTTGTTACAAGATGCCTTATGTTTAGGATTTGAAAAAAAATAAATCTTCATATCCACATATCTCAAGGTCGAACTGATCAATTTGAGGGTTCTCTAGCATCGATACACTCTAATTTAGAGGATTTTTCAGCTTCACGTTATTTCAATAGTATAAGGTGGCAATCTTTTGTAAACTTTTTCCTTTGTTATATATTGGATCTTTTTTGGCCTAGGTGAGTCTCATAATATTATCTTAACCTCCAGTTCTAACCATAGTTAGTAAGTTTCCATTAAAAACTCGAACTCTTTTTAAAAAGAAGTTGTTTTGTTGTAATAAGTTTTAAACTGCATTATTTTCAAAATATCCGGAAAAAACACATTATTTTTATAAAAATGTTAAAAACACGTTTTTAATGACTTTTTCAAACAAAACGGTTAAAAAAGAACTTCTCATTTATTGCATCCAAATTTAATTGTTTTTTTGGAAATTTTTATATCTTTATCCCTTTTATTCCAAAGAAAACCGTATTAAAAAAAACTTTTCTATTTTTATGCATCCAATTCCAAAATTTTAGAATTTTACTTCTTTCTCAATTCCATTTTGAATTTCTTTCTATTTCTAATTTTTTGGATAAAAAAGTTCTAAAAAAATTTCAAATCCAATTCATTTTTTTTCAATTTTCTATCTTTATCTATTATGCATCCAATTCCAAAATTTTGGAACGTGCCTACTCAATGCCTTCTATTTTGAATTTTTTTTGGGATGAATACATTCCAAACAACTTTCAAGTCGAATTCAAAACTTTTTATCCCTTTTATTTCATCCCTTCTAAAAATCATATTTCCCAAAAAAATAAAATAAAAATCCAACACATATTTTCCAAAAAAAAATATTCTTTGAAAAAATTTTGTGTATCCAAAAAATAGAAAAAAGGCCATCTCAAAGAAGACCATGATAAGAGAAAAATATTCTATTTTTCTTAGCTTATACATTGCTTGATTTTTTCTTATGCTTAAATTATCATAGATTTGAAGTTTTTATCTAGTACGAATTCACCTTTCTATTAATTCTGAGGATCTATCGCTCTCAATAATTTTTAATGTTGCCTTTCATGTATTTAAAAATTGAATCTAACGACTTTGGTATGCTTTATGATTTTTTATTTCTTTTGGCCTTGTTTTGTATTTAATATTGGATCATGGGATGAGACATCTAAATTAATTGATTTTATTATATTAGAGTAGTAAAATTTTCATGCATACATTATTTATTGATGGTTGCTACAAATTTTAAAATATCCGATTTTTCTTATTTCACGATGTTTCTGTTTACAATATTTTCTCGATCCATATTTTTTGCCTGAATTTTTGCATCTGACTCTTTGGACCAAATCCGATTTAATCCCAATTTTGTAGTGAGCCGAATATTCCCCGACTTGCTAACTATGGTTAATTGAGTTGCATGTATTGAATTGCAAAAATGTAATATTTTAACCTTCGATTGAAACGGTTGTTAAAAAAAGAATTGGGTCAAATCAAAATCGCTTGAATTGATATGGGAAACAATGAATAGTACATATTAGGAACCATGAAAAGTTAGCCGGTTCTCATAGAACTAATGCTTATGTAATAAAAGCAGCTAGTTTTATCAGAACCGACCGGTTCTAACTCGTGTGCCCGCTTCTCAAATTGATAACGATACTCTCTTCTTTCTTTTCTTTTTTTTTTTTTTTTTTTTTTTTTTTTTTTTTTTTTTTTTTTTTTTTTAAAATTGGCCCCATCCCTTCTTTTTCACCCGTCTATTTCTTATGGCGGTCGGCATGCATAACCAATGCTTCTTATTTATTATTATTATTTTATTTTTAATGAGTACACTAGGGCCCACCTTCTACTTATAGCGCTTGGCTCCAGTAGTGTTGACTGTGTTATTGACATTCCCAATGTGGGGCTAAAAAGTCGTAAAAGATTAAGAAGGCGGTTTTTTCTCTCTCAATTCCACACAATTCCAGGTGAGTTTCATTGATAAGTACAGAAAAATAAGGAATTTTTCTCTTTTCCTCTCTTAAATATTGAATTAGGTTTTTCTTTTTTGCACTCTAGCTTGGATTGGGTTTTTTTTTTCATACTCTCTATCGTTTTACATCTCTCTCTTGATTATTGGATTTCATTATTCTTTTTTTGCCCTCGCTTTTTCTTGGTCTCTTTCCCTCTCTTTCTCTCTCTGTGTAATCTGTCTGTGTGTAAGAAGGGGAACTCACTGTGTATATAGTTTGTGCCAGTATATTTGGTTTCATTGATTATAGCAACTAGAAAATAGAGAATAAAAATTACACCTCTCTTGATTTTATTTCCTGCTATCCCCATCAACAATTAAATGGAGAAGCTCTCAATTTTTTCGGAAAATTTCTCTAGATAGACACAGTACTAAGGATCCCATAGGGAAACAAATATTTGGGAATTGGTTGGCATTTGAACATAGGAACTATTGCATAATATAAGAGACTTAGATTGCTATTTTTTATCTATTTGCAGGGCTCCAGTGGATACTACATATTCCTTTAAGATAGTATTTTATATCTTTCCTTATATATTATTTTACTGCTAGGAATTGCATTATAAACCTAATTTTAACTATGTAATGAATGTAGTGGTCAACAAATACTCAAACCTAAAATAAGTTCTCAGTATTTACGTATTTTCGGCAAAATAATCCAAATCCATAATGCTATACCTCCAATTGTCTTGAAAATGTAAACAAACTAGATTTTAATAATCCAAATCCATAATGCTATACTTCCAATTGCCTTGAGAATATAAACAAGCTAGATTTTAAAGAAATTTTAGTTGAATTTTCATTTTACATCAGGTAGGGCCGATCTACCATTCTGGACACGTTTTCCAAATAGGTGATCCCGGTCAAGTAGAGAGAGAGAGAGGGGTTAGTGTTGGGAGAGGTAGATGTTTGAGAAGGAATTTTGATGAATTTTATTGATCTTCAAAATAAGTGACGGATGTACCTCATCCATAAGGGAAAACAAAATGAAGAAAAAAGTTTTTAGTTTTTAGTTTTTTGCTGACATATTACTTTTTTGCTGACATATTACTTTTTAGTTTGCTGACATATTACAAATGGCAAGTCAAGAAAAAAGTAATATGTCAGCAAACTAAAACACTGGGAATGAATTGGTTTTGATTCAAAATTTTGTGTTAGTGTCAAGCATTTTTCAATATATTTTTCTGATTATTTCAAAAATTTCAGGATCAGATTTGCTTGGAGGATGATCCCCCAAGCCAAATCTCATAGCACCACGTTATAAGCATCCCTTTTTTCTTTCTTGGGTCAATTTTTTCAATGAAGTTATGTCTTTTTTATGACATATGCAATGGACAAGATCCAACAAAGAATCAACTACGCAAGAGAAGGTGATCCTACTTCTCTCTATCTATCTCTTCTCTCTCTACTCAGTATTTTTTTTTTGGTATAATGATCTAACTAGTATTTTGTTATGATTTGATTTTATTTATGTACATTCAAAGGAACTCAGGTGTTCAATAGGCGATAAGTTGAGAGAAAATAGACTTAGGTGGGCGGGATATGTGCAATGTAGACCAAATACAAAACCAGTTAAAATGTGTTATTTGGTTCAATAGAAGGCTATAAAAGTGCAATGAAAAGGCTCAAAAAGACATGAATAGAAGTAGTGAGAA